CTTTCACCTAAAACACAATAAAATTGTTTTTTGAAAAACTTGTAGGATGCACCTAGGTGGTGTAAACGGTTTGCACCCGACTGCTAACCTAACAGTTGGTGTTTTGAACCCACCTCAGAAAAAAAGAGCTGGTGATCTATTTCCATTAAGGTTACAGCCGAGAAAGTCCTGTGGAGCAGTTCTCTATAGCATATAGAGTTGCCATGTATTAGAATCTACTCAAAAGAAACAGAGCTTTGTATTTATTTATTTTTTATTTCCTTTTGGTTTATCAAACAGTTGTTGTTGTTGTTGTTGTTATTTGCTATCGAGTCGGCCCCGACTCATAGCAACCCCTCCTTGGGTTTCCGAGGCAGTATCACTACGGAAGTAGGATTGCCCAACCTTCCTTCCGAGGAGTGGCTGGTGGGTTTGAACCACCAGCCTTCTGGTTAGCAGTCAAGTGCTTTAGCCATTATGCTACCAGAGATTTCTGAATTAGTCCCCTAAGTATGCTTTTTAATCCTCTGAGGAAGATGAAATAGCAGTTAAGTGGACTTTAGGTGGCTTGCCATGAAACCTAACTGTCATTTGAAACGGGCTTTTTTGTTGTTGTTGTTAGGGAAGTGCAATCTGTGTAGAAAGAGGTACAGATAACATTGTCAAGGATAGGAAAGGGTCTATTCTTCCTGGGCTTGGATTGAAGACAGTCACACTTAAATACCATCTCTTCTTTCCATAAGTTTGTGCTCTTATGTTTCAAAAGAATTCCAAAGAAAGCCAGGGATTTTTCCTTCATGTGTAAAAATGTATTCTATGTCCATTTTATGAAGTTTGGAGTAATCTGAAAAGAGACTTTCTGTCCTGTGCTAGGGATAGTGTGGGACATCCTTAAGAGTAGTATCAACGTAACTCATACTCAGCCACAGAGAATGAATACGACCATTTTCTGACTCAAGTTCAACAGCAAGAGGAAGGAAGATAATTGGATAAGCATCATAAGAGAAAGGAGGATAAAGTAAGAAGATGAGGAAGAGCACTAACATTTATTGAGGCTCCACTATATTTCATAATGGTTGGATTCATTTGCACAAGTTTCATTTAAGATAATATGGATAGAGAGGGAAAGATTGCCTATAGAAGAATATATAGAATTCTTAACAGAAATGTACAGCAAGAAAGAGAGTTTGATTATAATCGTGTTGAGGCGGAAGAAAGGTATGCAAAGCTGTTTATTTAGACATCTATCCATTTTCTACAGTAGATGGTGACATTGTATAAAGACAGCTTGATTGCTGGCTAGTAAAATAGTCAAAATTTGGGATGAAAGGATGAGTATCTAAATTCAACAACTAAGCCCTGAGAGTAGCACTTCAATGTTATTGAATTTCTCCTTATGATTTCTAATTTAAATGTTATTATGGTTCACATTGAGGTATTTTATAAATACCTTGATTTGTCTGACAGATTTAGGGATGATAAACAGGTATTTGTAGATGAACATATACTCCCTAACTATTAAAAATTTCACATACCAAAGTAATGATACAGATGATTAAGCCAAAAATAAACAGTTTTGTACTGTGTCAACGCTTATTGCTTATGACATGGGATGAACATGCACGTTTGGGTGTTGGGTTCAGGAAGAAGGACAATATTCCAAGTATCATCCTTTTATTTTTTTTATTTTACTTATTTTGTTGTTGTTGAGATTATATACAACAAAACCCGCACCAATCTGGCAGTTCCATACGTACAGTTCAGTGACATTGATGGCATTCTTCAAGTTTTGCAGCTGTTCTCACTCTTTTCTGAGATGCTCCTCCTCCTAAGTAGTATAAACCAAAAAAATACGTAACAAACCAAACTCACTGCCATCCTAAGTTGTTGTTGTTGTTGTGTGCCTTCGAGTCGAACCCAACTCATAGTGACCCCTCCTTGGGTTTCCGAGGCAGTATCACTACAGAAGTAGATTACCCAACCTTCCTTCCTAGGAGTGGCTGGTGGGTTTGAATAGCCAGCCTTCTGGTTATCAGTCAAGTGCCTTAGGCACTACACTACCAGAGCTCCCCTGCCATCATATAAGCAGCCCTAATTTTTAAAGTTAGGCTTCTCCTTTCTGGGGTTTTGGTCTCAGAGTTCCTTATCTTCTTTTCAGAGTATTATCTGGAAATACAGTTTCTCTTCTGTAAAACAGGTCTTTTCAAGTGATCATATATTCTTACTAAACACAATTTCTTCCTTGAAACTTACCTCATTTTCTCCAGCTTGAAGTAGGCTGTTTCTCCTCTGTACTCCGTTGAGCCTTTTTAAAGACCAAATTCTACTTTCTGTTGATGGTGCCCAGATTTTATCATCCTAACTATGCTGTATGTATATTGAAGACAAACTTTCTTGTTTATGGTTGTCCCTATTAACAGTCTGCTCAGTGCTTTGCATGCAGTAGGTGCTCAATAAAATACATCAAATCCTTTAAAAAGGCTTAGATGATAGGTGCCAAAGCAATGTGTTTTAAGGTAATTAGCTATGACTGGAAGTAGCTTTATTTTATAAAAGGTGGCTTTTAAGGTATAGGAACTCCTATGGCCAGGTGTTTCATTTCTGATGAATGGAAGCTATGACCTTGCAGTTATAAAGCACATTAGTTTAATTTTTGGAACTCAAAATTCATTCTTTTGTATTTGTCCAGAAAATTCAGTCCACATGTTGGACAGTTACACTGTTAATATTCCAAATTACTAGTCCTTTTGAGAGTCACTAATCCTTTTGAGAATCTAATTGAAGCTAGCTCCTCTAAACTACACGTACTCCAAAAAAGACACATCTACATAGATAATTCTGTATACTATTTTAGAGGGTTCATGGATCCCATGCTATGGAGCTCTGGTGGTGTACTGGGGAAGGCATTTGACTTCTAACCAGAAGGTTGGTGGTTCAAACCCACCAGCTGCTGCATGGGAGGATGATGAGGCAGTCTACTTCTATAAAGATTTATAGCCTTGAAAACCCAGTGGGGGTCATTATGAGTCAGAATTAACTCAGTAGCAGTGGGTTTGGTTTTCTTTCTTTTTCTTTTTTTTTTTTTTTAAAACATCCCATATTAAGAACTTCTGCTTTAGGTTCTGGCATAGACTGTCACTGATTAGTTGAGACAGAATGATAGGAAAACATACTATACAAAATAACAGTTGATCTGAGTGAATTTTAGCTCTGGTTCTACCACTGATGAGTGTGGTGCCATTTGGCAGGCTATTTAACGTCTCCTTACCAGTTTCTTCAAGGAGCTCTGGTAGCGTATGGGGTAAGGCATTTCGCTGCTAACCAGAAAGTCAGTGGTTCAAACCCACCAGCTGATCTAGGGGAAAAAGATGAGGCAATCTACTTCTGTAAAGATTTATAGCCTTGGAAACCCAGTAAGGGTCTCTATAAGTCAGAATCAACTCAATGGCAGAGGGTTGTTTTGTTTTATTTTATTTTTTGGTACAGGTTTCTTCAAGGAGCCCTTGTGGCTCAGTGGTTAAACTGCCCAGCTGCTAACCAAAAGGTTGGTGGTTTGAGCCCACCAACTGCTCCACAGGAGAAAGAAGTGGCAGTCTGCTTCCATAAAAAATTGACAGCCTTGGAAACCATATGGGGCAGTTCTACTGTCTCCTGTAAGTTGCTGTGAGTCAGAATTGACTTGATAGCAGTGGGTTTGGTTTTGAGTTTACCTGTTTGTTCATTTGTAAAGTGAAGTTAGTGGATAAGGTTAAATAGACTAGTATATGTAATATACTTAGTTTGTTGTTATTGTTATATGCTGTTGAGTCAGACCTGACTTATAGTGACCCCTCCTTGGGTTTCCGAGGCAGTATCACTACGGAAGTAGATTGCCCCATCTTCCTTCCGAGGAGTGACTGGTGGATTTGAACCACCAGCCTTCTGGTTAGCAGTCAAGTGCCTTAGGCACTACGCTACCAGAGCTCCCATACTTAAATTAGTACCTGGTATATAGTATGCTTCCTAGTTCCTATTTTTATTTCTACTGTCTCATAAAGAATTTTGAATTTTATTGGTGTCTCTTTCTTCTAATTATTTTTCCTTTAAGAAAAATTACTTTCCTACATACATTTTTAAACTTGAATAACAATCAACTTAATTCTCTTATCCTTAAAGGCAAAGTTGTAAGCTGTGTCCTGGGTAAATGAGGTACCCAAAACTACCATCTTAATGCTATAACTGAAAAATTCTGATTCAGAGGAAATATGTGCCTACCAATGTATGAAATCAACTGAGGAAACAAAGAATACTGAGAAATATCTACTTAAAGATATTGTATTAGTATACTGGGCTTGTTAAAGCAGGTGAGGTTTTTCCCCATAATTGTAGTTGTTAAGAATTTCAGTCTTTTCCAAGGTAAGATGTGCTATGTCTTACCAAAAATCAATTATTCTTAAAGTAAAAATTATATCAAAACAGAGATTCCATACATAACCCAAAATCATAAGAAAACCAGGTTTACTGGTCTGATAGAGACTGGTGAAACCTCTGAGACTATGACCACTAGTCACCCTTTAAATCTGGAATAGAACTTGCTCCTGCTACTCAACTTTCAGCCAAAAGATAAACAGGCTGACAAGATGAACCGTTAGACCAAAAGGATATGCACTCCTTAGAACAATCAATCATAAGAGATCAAAAGGGCAGCATTTGCTCAGGGATAAAACTCAGAAGGAAGGAATGCCTACGAAAGTGGAACATAGGAAAAAAGGTAACCACAGGGAAGAAATAGGATGAGAGCTGTTACATTGTGGGGATTGCAATCAGTGTCACAAAACAAAATGTATATGAACTGTTGAATGGAAAATGAATTTGCTCTGTAAGCTTTCACCCAAATCACAATAAAAAGTTTAAAACAAAGCAGAAAAACAGATTCTATTAATATCTATGTCAGTAACAAACAGGTTGTGTTAAAAATGTGTAACTTTCATGTATTACCTGGTAAGCAAAACACTTTTTTTTTTTTTTTTTACTCTAATTAGGGAAGAAGACAAAAACATATTCGATTACTGCAGGGAAAACAACATTGACCATATAACCAAAGCCATCAAATCAAAAAATGTGGATGTGAATATGAAAGATGAAGAGGTATGAAAAACATGCCCTGTTAATTACTTTCTTACAATTTACTTTCTTAGGCTTTTTCTAAATGACAGATTTATGAACTACTACTCAAAGTTCAGTATGGTTAAGAGCAAATCAGAATATCTAACTGAGATGGTGTCCCCCAGTTAAGATACTTTCTATATATCTGTCTATGAGTAGAAGTTACTATGTTTCTGTCTCTGAAGTAGAAGTTACTAGCTGAAATTTCCAGCAGTCAAATAACTTCCATTTGTTTATGATAAAGGGAAAGACTATTAGCATAGTAAGTAGAATCTATAGGTAATATCAAAATCTCATTTTACCTGAAACAGATATATTGTACTTTGCTCAGTAAATGTATTTATAGGAAATTGTTTTTCAGAATTTTTATAAATCCAGTAATTTAGAAATGTGTGCCCATATCTGGGACAGAAGCCTAAATAAATGTTTTGATATCTTGCTTGTTGAAAATGTTTCTGTCAGAGTTATAGGCATTTACCGCATACTGAGTAAATATTTGGTGAATTAATGTAAGGTTGAATGAATGAATAAACAGAAGCAATGTAACATAATGGAAGAGCTGGACTACGTGGGTTCATGTCTTAGCACTGTCTCTTCCTAGCTCTATGACCTTTACTGTGTTCAAATGCACTTTGCATTTCAATTTCCTAATCTGTAAAATGGCAATAACATTAGTACCTGCCTCTGGATTGTTTTGAGGATTACATGAGTTTATAATATAAAGCACATAAGCAGTGCATAGTAAATTACTCAATAAATTCAGCTATTATTATTATTGCTATTAATGAGTAATATGCACGAAGAAAGATAATAATGAAATGAATGAAGAAGCTACTTTCAAAGTCACTAATTTCTTACTGAAAATTATTGTGTATGTACTATATGATCCCTTTTAGAGTTTTCCGTTTTTCAGATAATAAATAGCAATACTTTACATAGTAAATGTTATATTTTAGAGGACTTGTACTTATTGCAATATTATCTTCACAAAAATCCTGTAGATACATGTTATTATTTTATAGTCAGGGACTGAGGTTTGAACCAAAAAAACTCAAACTCACTGCCATCCAGTTGATTCTGATTCATAGTGACCCTCATGAACAGAGTAGAACTGCCCTGTAGAGTTTCCAAGCCTGTAAATCTTTACAGAATCACACTGTCACATCTTTCTACTGTGAATCAGCTGGTGGGTTCGAGCCCCTGACCTTTTGGTTAACAGCCATGTGTTTTATCCACTTATACTTGCTCAGATGCATACAACTACTAAGTGGAAATTCAGTTCTAAGAAAGTGTTCTTTCCTTCATGTGATTTAAGAAGTATAAAAAATTTCCGGTTGGTCCTGCTTGTGCTATGCTATTGTTGCTATTGATTTGCAACAATTTGTTTTATAAAATATTATTGTAAGTCACATGCACATGTGACCTTTGCAAAGATTGTGATCATTGGACAGCCATGATAGGGATAGAATAAATATATAAAACACAAAGAGATTACACACTAAACATGATTTTTGTGTGTGTGTGTGTGAAAATGAAAGGAACACTTACAAAATATATTGCTTCTGTTATTTAGTTACTTTGATGCAGTACAGCTTCCCAGCTCTTCTTGTTTGTCACCCATGCATCTACCTTTACCCCCAGCCTGCCAGAACATTGTGTTTCCATGAACAGATGAAGTGCTTACACATTCATAGACTGAGACGCCAAGAATTCAGTTGGGTTCTCTCATTGCTCCAAGCAGATTTCTGCCCTCTCAGCCATGACAACTCAGGCTGGGCTTTGAATATTGATGGCAAGGCCTTTTATTATTAATCAGGGATTCATAAGAATTAATTTAAGAACATGAGAGAGATGGGAGCTTCAAATCTGAATCAAACTTGACATTCTAAACTGCTTTGTGACATATAAAACTCTAGCAAACAACTTGGTAAGCTTTGATGATGGATTAATGGTATATAACTCAAAATTAAGTTGTTAGCTAAATATTTTTAACTCTTATCAATAAAGAGACATCCCTACTGTAGCAATTTGGGGAATAATTATAGTTTTAAAAGTATATCAGTTCTTTGTGTTTATGTATCTGATACTTGAACTTGAGATATTTCACTACCAATTGCCTAAAATTTCTTCAAGATGGCAAATGTCTTTATTTAAAATATTATTTAAGCAGGTTCATCCCTATTTCATTCTTGCCCTTAGATGATTAGAAATGAGCATTTATTGCACTCAAAATTTGCTATGAGCATTGTGGTACTTAAGTTTATGTGTCAACTTGTCTGGGCTTTGATTTTTGAGTAGTTTGGCAGCTGTGATGTAGTTATTCCCAATGATGAGATTGGATGTGTGTGATCACTTCCTTGGTGAGATTTGCTGTGAGAAGTTAATCAGTTAAAGGGGATTCACCTTTGGGGTGTGGCCTGCTTCCAGTATATATGGAAAAGATCCTGCATTTGGCTCGTCATCATCTCCAGTTCCTGGACTTGAGCCATGGCCTATTGTGTTGCCTGCTGATGTTGAGATTGTTGCCTTCACAGCCTGTGAGCCAACATTCTGCCATTCTGCCTGCCAGTCTTGAGTCATCAGCCCCAGCAGCTTCATGATTCAGAAGAAGCCTCCAGCTTGCTCCAGTGGGCCTGGAAAGCAAAGCTGAAGCCCAGGGTCAAGGGGCCTCCTCCACCCACCCCCTAGAACTGGCACTCTGAACCTGGACTTCTAGCCTAGTCTTCCCCTAGAGCCAGCACTCTGAATTTGCACTTCTAGCCTCTTAAACTGTAAGCGAATAAATCTCTGTTTGTTATAGCCATCCATTTGTGCTGTTTCTTTTAGAGCAGCACTAGACAACTAAGACAAGCACATAAAGAAATTTAATTTTAGTCAAAAAATGATAAGGTGCATTTGGATCCCCACACATTGAAATAAACACAATTACTATATTGCCTGAAATGCATATATTTGGATTTATGACTATCTTATTACAAGAAGAAATAAAATATTTATTAAATACATTTATAGATATATTTGTGCTATATATTCTGTAAAAAGAAATATATTCATAAGAAATGCCTTGTAAATAAAATATATTCATATTTCATGGTAATGTTACTGCATTATGCATGAATATATTTCCTCATGCATTTCTTTTATTCATTTAAATTGTAATTATTATTAATATATTAAGGCATATATTTTTAATTTGAGAGAATTAAGTGGTCTGTCCTACTGAAAAAATAATTGTCCTAGATTTCACATAGTAGAAAGTTTTATAGTTTTGCTTAGTATTCAGGAAGCTATATGGGCGTAATGGTGGTCCAGTGATAGAATCGTTGCTTTCTTTGTGAGAGATGGTTTAGGTCGCCATTGCACTTCAAGTGTTGCCACCATCTGTCTATCAATAGAGCTTTGTGTGTTGCTATGATGCTGAATAGGTTTCAGCAGAGCTTCCAGACTAAGACAGGGTAGAATGAAAGATTGGATGATCTACTCCAAGAAATCAATCAGGGAAAACCTGTGTATTACAATAGTTCCAACCCCTTTGCATATGGAGTCATCAGGAGTCCAGGGCCAACTTGTCGGTGACTGACAACAACATATGCACAACAGAGGTTTCAGGGTCTGAGTTCATCTCACCATGGTGTTATATGTTAAATGACTAATTTCTGTAAGGCCACGGTAAGGAGAAGAGGATGCACAAAAGTGAGGTTAAAGAGAAGTTTTTATTCTGCGCTTCCGGGCAAGGTTTACGGGTCCCCTAGAGGGGCCCGGGTGAGGTTCACGGGTCCCTGAGAGGGGCCCGAGAAGTCGCGCCACCTGGCTGTGGAGGGTAGGGTTTATAGTCTTGTAGAGGACCTAAGTGGGGACACTAAGGAAATGGCGGGGTCCAATTAGTTGTTGGCATGGGTCTGCACCTAATTAGCATGAGGAGGCTTCACAGGAGGAAGTTTATTATCACATGGGGCTTTCCAGCCTGGGCAGGTTTTGTCACCTCGCTTGTCTTGTCAGACTGTCTCATCAGGGCCTGACACCTGGAGGAAGCTGCTAACTGAAATGTTGGTGGCTTGAGTTTACTCTAGCCTAACAATTTCATTCTTGATCATGTCCAGAAATACTTTGAAATCGAGGTAGAAAATATGAAGACAAAAGTGAAGACAAAGATCTTAAAGCCTATAATTTCTTAAATGGGAAGTCCATTATTATATTTTGAGCCATATTAATAAAACTCTTCACACATGCCAAATATTTATGGCTTTTTCAGAAAACATCTTTCAACAGGAAAAGAAGATTTAAATAATTTGTAAAGTTTAAGATACGAACAGAACATTTCTTATCAAACATCAAGCACAAAGTATGTCTGCATAATTTTTTTGCACAATTATTTGTGCATAAATCTTGTCACACACATCTTTTCTCAGATCAGTGCCATATACAATAGACACTAAATTCATGTTTATGGATGACATTTAAATAGTATTTTAAATCTTTACATTAATTTAAATTTGTCTAGAACAAATATACCAAAAACAACCAAACTCACTGCTGTTGAGTTGGATCTGACTCATAGCAATCCCTTCTTGGGTTTCTGAGGGGTATCACTACAGAAGTAGATTCCCCATCTTCCTTCCGAGCAGTGGCTGGTGGGTTTGAACCGCCAGCCTTCTGGTGAGCAGTCAAGTGCCTTAGGCACCACACCATCAGAACAAATATAGCAATGTAATTTTTTAGCAAAATTTATTATTCCAATGTACCTATCATCAACCCATCCCCAAAGCATTCATATGCAATTCAGTGTTTCTCATAGGTTCTTCTCTAATCCATTACAAAATTCCTCTTCTGTTGAGCTAGTTCTTTAGTTTTAAGTTCTTTCCTTTCTATCTTCTTGAAGGTATAATTGTTATCAATAGACATTCTCCTTTTTTTGGTTCTTTCAAATACTTTGAAGGACGTTACTTTTCTCTTAACTCTCATTCTTTTCTCTTTCTGCTTTT